GTGATACAAGTTAGTGAACCGTATTGTTATGTCTAATGAGTGATACAAGTTAGTGAACCGTATTGTTATGTCTAATGAGTGATACAAGTTAGTGAACCGTATTGTTATGTCTAATGAGTGATACAAGTTAGTGAACCGTATTGTTATGTCTAATGAGCTCTCCTTGTCACTTCGTTTCTTTGAGATGCTAACGTTGCTTCTTTCATGCCGGCTTCAGAGGGCTGGACAATTGGGACCTCTCGCCCTTGTGGGTGATGAGCATATTTTGATTTAAGAAACTCTCGATAATTGAGACCTTCCACCTCTTTGGTGATGTTCATCTTGACTCTCGGTGTGAGATAGCTAAATAGCTGAAGTGCTATTAAACATGCGGCCACTAACTAACTAACTAACTCGTTGCTGTATATCAAACATTCCCCATGTTGTGTGTCAGAGATTTGTGCCTTTGCAAGCATTGCTCGAGATGATAGTTGTGCGCTCGAAGGGCTGCGTGAACGTGCGTGAATGTTATTAGTTTCGTGATGTTGCACGCAGCGTGATTGCATGCAATGGTTTCGTGCGGCAGGTTCACGCAGGGCTTCGTGGACGTGCGTGAGCGTGAGCGTCGCCACCGCCGGGGCTCAATGGAGCAAGGCAAGCAACTCATGAACCTCCATAACAACGAGGCGGGACGCAGGGTGAGTCATTACCTTAATTACTTTAACATTAGTCATGCCTTCATGATACTTCATTAGTCCTGCAATGATATGGTTAATGCATTAATGATGTATCATCGTTCTTTTAATAATATGGTCAATCCATTGATGTAAAGATCAGAATCTTACTAATTTAATGAGTAGATTAATCATCAGATTAATTCTTTTCTAATATAATAAATCCATTAAAGAAAGTATAAATCTTTCAAACATATATGTAATTAACTCAAAATTAGATAAATTCCTTACTAATATAATCATTTAATTAATTATTAGATAAAACCCTGCTAACATAATCAATCAATTAACGATAAAATGCTGTCAGCTATCGTTAATTGAATTCCATAAAATTATCGTATTATTAAGTATCAAACCAGACATTAATAAAATCAATAAAGCTTCCTTACGTAAATTATTTAAGGTAAATTATGCACGCCATGATTGTCATGATTGCTAGTTTTCTCTTAAATATTACAGCCATTGTTAGTGAAGCGTAGAGTCAATTATTGGGGATAACTGCTTTTTCTGCGTTGAAATTCCTGCATTATGAAGCGGCAATGCTTGGCCAGCGTTATTTATTGCTAACTAACCGTTGCCGGCTAATCACATTCATTAAACATCCTGTAAGCACAGTTTCTTATTTAGTTAACATATGTTTTTGCTTTTTAGATTGCCGACGTTTCTTTCGCTCGATCAGATTGTCATCATCAAATTTCTTTCTCTGGGTTCGATTTTTTAATATTTATCGTTGATCGTTTTCGCGTAGGCATGTTTTTCAATCAAATAAATCCCATTAAATCCAAACTGCAAGGTCTAGCATAATTTTTGCAAAAATATTTTCAATTTTATTTATCCCCTCACCATACCTCAAAACAAAAATTTGAAGATTTTAAAGCTTTTACTTCTATTGGGCCAACCTTTCCTTCATTATGTTTGCATGGGAATCGCACAAGCAAAGTTTCCCACTTACCCATATTTCTCTGAAAAACTGGGACTGTGATATTTTTCATGATTAAAATATGATGCACTTGAATAAAAGAATTATAATTGTTGTGATGTCCCAATTAAGTTTGCTTTGCTCTTGCATATCCCAAAAAGATTCGTTTCGTACGTAGACTACAGTAAGAAAATAATTGTTCTATTGATTATCAAACTCATTGTGCATTGCTATTTGCAATTTAATCCTAAACATATTAATTGCAGTGTGAAGATTATGTGTGAGCTGTTCAAATTGTTACATGTATATTAACACTACACAGCAAACGAGCTATATAGCTGCTGGTATTACTGACAATTAACCATGTATTATTTCTACACACGAAACACTGTATATCAAGTGTGATGCATGTATGAAACACGTGTTTATCAGGCGGTGTTCCGCAAGACGCGCGTCACGTGCAAGTGTCACGGCGTGTCCGGGTCGTGCTCCCTCATCACTTGTTGGCAGCAGCTCGCGCCCTTCAGAGAAGTCGGTATGTCTCTATATACTATTATTAATACTTACTATATTATATGTACTATTATAAGCTTTCAGAAGTTATATGTGGTACCTTATCGTGTTCCTTTATTGCCTGCTGGCAGCAGTTCGCTCCATTCAGAGGAGTCGATCCGTGCTCTAATATTATTAGTAACACTATTTTCTCTATATTATTATTATTATTATTTTCTATTTATTATTATTATTATTATTTTTCTATATAATATTATACCCTTTGAGCCTTTCAGAGGAGTCGCTCTGTATCGATTTAGTGTTGTATCTATGCACTATTATATCCTTTAAATTGTTTTATATGATATGTTACACTTCTAAATTACTTACTAATGAACTAAAATATTTCCTAGTGAATCATTACTATCAGTAATATTCTGCGTATTGTATTTAGGCTTCTATTATTCCATCACCTTAATGCATTTTGGTTACTAAACCTCTCGTTCGATGGATTATTCGATATCACCATATTTTTTATCATAGATCTGCCGATTATCATTTTTTCAATGATAATGGCGATTTCGATGCGTCATTTTTTGTCATTCTGTCAATTTCGATGCGACTTGCAAGGGAAATATTACCGAGGTTATCATTAACGAAGATATCATAACAGAAGAAATCATTATCAGATCTGTCACTACATCATCACCATTTCTGTGAAGGTGACGCTAGTGCCACGTCCCCAGGTGACCTGCTGAAGGAGAAGTACGTCCTATAAAATAAGATATATCATCACATATCATCAGCGATGATACCTTCACGCCAGGTGACCTGCTGAAGGAGAAGTACCTACGTCCTATAAAATAAGATATATCATCACATATCACCAGCAATGATACCTTCACGGCAGGTGACCTGCTGAAGGAGAAGTACGACGGCGCCACGGAGGTGATGATCAACAGGCGCGGGAAGCTGCAGGTTCGCTACGCGCAGTTCAACGTCCCCACCGCCGAGGACATCATCTACATGGCAGAGTCACCCAACTACTGCAAGCCCAACGCTACTGTGGGCTCTGTGGGTGAGTGGCAAGCCCAACGCTACTGTGGGCTCTGTGGGTGAGTGGCAAGCCCAACGCTACTGTGGGCTCTGTGGGTGAGTGGCAAGCCCAACGCTACTGTGGGCTCTGTGGGTGAGTGGCAAGCCCAACGCTACTGTGGGCTCTGTGGGTGAGTGGCAAGCCCAACGCT